CATCACATCCAGCACCCGGACTATCAGCACTGGCGCCCCCCAGGGGTGTGTGCTCTCCCTCTACACCAACGACTGCACCTCAGGGGACCCATCTGTCAAACTCCTGAAGTTCGCTGACGACACAACGGTCATCGGCCTCATCCGGGACGGTGATGAGTCGGCCTACAGATGGGAGGTTGATCAGCTGGCTCTCTAGTGCGGTCAGAACAACCTGGAGCTTAACAAGCTCAGAACTGTGGAGATGACCGTGGGATCCACTATATCCCAGGACCTGAAGTGGGAGTCCAACACTGACACTATCATCAAGAAGGCCCAGCAGAGGATGTACTTCCTGCGTCAGCTCAGGAAGCTCAACCTGTCTAAGGAGCTGCTGATCCAGTTCTACACAGCCATCATCCAGTCTGTCCTCTGCACCTTCATCACTGTCTGGTTTGGATCTAGCACCAAAAAGGACAGGAGCAGACTACAACGGGCAGTCAGGACTGCAGAAAAAATAATCGGTGCCAACCTGCCCTCCATTCAGGACGTATACATTTCCAGAGTTAGGAAATGGGCAGGAAACATCACTGCAGGTCCATCTCACCCGGGCACAACCTGTTCCAGCTCCTCCCCTCTGGTAGGCGCTACAGAGCACTGTACGCCAAAACCAACAGACTCAGGAACAGTTTCTTCCCACAAGCCATCACTCTGATGAACAGCTGATTTCTGATTCATAGTGTCAGGAACAATTCCTGTGCAATAACCCAGTAACTCTGTCTCTAATCAGCACCTGTTTACTGGTTTCCACTTATTATTTATTTATTCACCATTCTCTATTTCAGTGCTGTTCATACTATGTCATATTGTGCATACTGTATACCAATACTCCTACCTCAGCTCATAGGTCTTATTTATTTTTTCCAGCATCCTTTGCACTATGCTCCATCACACTGTGCACATGTGTACATGTATGTGTACTTATATCATATCCACCTTCAACATGTACATAATGAGAATAGTTTACTCTTGCATCCTTTGCACTACTGCACTATTTGTCAGTATGTCTATATTGTTTTGTTCATAGTGTGTATATTAGTGTTGTCTACTCTGTAGTTTGTGTCTGATATTATTATTATATTATTATTTTATTATTGTATAAGTAAGCACATCGTGAGCAATGTACAATCCTGAGTCAAATTCCTCATATGTGTACACATACCTGGCAATAAAACTGGACGTCTGGCGATCAGTTTGCACATCAGTGCGAATGGAGGAGGGGCCGTGTTTGTTGTGTGTGAGTATGTTGAAGTTTCAGTTTTATGGCTTCTGACCATTTTGTGTGGTAGAAGCAGGACAAGAAAAAGGGGGTGTGCCTTTGGTCATCCGGAGAGTGTCGGCAAGTGACACCTTTATGGCCAGAGTGGCCTACAATGGTCCCAGAATAAACATTTTAAGTTTGGTATTTCTGCTTGACTTTAAGCAGAGGTACATATCACACATCAGAGGCTTTGTACTTCCTTTGTATGCAAGAGGCCCAGTTTTTGGATGAATCCAGGTCTATAATAAACCAGGCCCCATCTCCTCTTGGTTTCCACTGATTGTTAACTACACTTTCGATGTCGATAATTATCACAATAAGTAACAAATCGTTAAAGTTTAAAGGCTGATTTTTGCTCCTGAGTGAAAGTTGAAGGGACACCAAAACCTAACCTGGTATTTTCCCCAGAAACAATGTATTAAACAGAGACTGTTTTCCTTGATGATGTTATAGGGTACATTTTTTGTATAAATGCAAAAGCATAAGTTTTATTTGAACACTGGAGGGGGCATTTTGAGCATTAAACACAATATTTCCTCCATTCCAGTGAAAATTTCTGCATCAATTTATGGTGGAACTATTTATTTATATAAAAGTAAACACAAAGTGTATGCCACTGGTGTAAATTCAAAATATATACAATTAATTAATTAATTAACAGTTAATAGAATATAATGCAGTGAGGCTTTCAGGCATTCTCTAGCTATTGCCTTTTAGAATGTCTTTTCCTGTAGATCAACTTTCCTCATTTAATAAAATCCCTGCTGAGATAACACACATGATAGTCTTTCCTACTCTTTGTGTCTTTATTTGGGGAAGTAACCTATTTAAATGTGCATGTGGCACCTTTGACCATCAGTGACAATGACATCATTCTAATCCAGTTATAAACTCCTGGACTTTAGTAGCTGTTGTGTTTCAGCAGGTTTTCTGCTCATGTTCAAAACTTCCTGCACACTCAGAATCTCTCCCACATATCTGTGTTCTCTGACATATTGAGAAAAAAGTTCTAATATTACAAGACTAACATCATGATTTAATTAGAATTCATAATATTTTTGCTACTCTGTGCATTAGCCTGCGTTATTTCTCGGCTGATACAGTCAGACAGACGAAGCCAAATTTGTAGTTCCTTTGTGCTACACACACAACATATGATTAAGTGTGGGCCAATATTAAAATATGGTAATAATATAGAACAATACATAAAGTTATTTATATACATATACACATACATATATACACCCCGAACATTCCACAGTGCATTTTTTGAATTTGCATCTGGGGTGAATGTAAACTGCAGCAACCAGATGATAATATGAAAGTTTCATTTTCACAATAAACAGTCTGACATTTGACATTTGGGAAACAGAGTGCATCTTGACTGTGTTTGTGTACCAAGCATCATCAAAGTAAGACACAAGACCTCCTCTCATCTTGCTGGAGTCTTGCGCTGACAGCTTGGAGCATGTCGAGTGCTTGATCCGGGATGTTGATGGGGCAGGTCTCTGTAATGATGTGGGCACAACAGTCTCTGAATTCCGTTGCTTGGTCAATATGAGTCCCATTTTGTCCAGACCGGCTCTTTAGGAGCAGAATTAAGTCCAAGCTGGGCCAGCATGGCTCCTCTCCTGGCTCTCTTTCCTCTCCTCTGAGCAGTCACCGCACCCGCCGTGGTGCCTGGTCTGGGTGAATCTCGGTCTGCTGCTCTTAAATCCAAAAACCCTGTCTTCATTTTCCAATGACTGTATTTATGTCATAGGTAACACATGTTTTCATAATAAAGCCGGAACAAAACAGATAAAAAACAAGTGTAGCCACATTTGAAGGAGCTACCAGCTGCTGCTTCAACAAGCACTGCCGGGTGCCATATAGCAAATATCAGCTGGGCGGAGGTGATTCATGTAGAGTCGAAAACTTTCTCTTGTGGCGCCCTCTGACATTTTGCGCCCTAGGCAACCACTTATGTCGCCTATCCCACACCAGTCAGTGTGAAAGGTAACCACAGCAAATGTGGAAGTCAGGTGCTTAGCAGTATGCAGCGTCACACTTGAGTCTCCACACTAATTAATGGGCTCTTATTTAGCCATCAATCCCCTTTAGCTGATGTCAGCTGGTTTTCCACAGCTCCATGATCATACATAAGCAATGAGAGATCGTCAATCATCTCACGTTATGGTCCATTTGAGGAGATGGCTGATGGTGACGAGAATGTAGATGTAGTTAGCCTATAATGTTTCCAGTCATAAGCTTTCCTTGGCAGCTCTTGAATCAGCCTCCAAGCGGATAGGAGAGACATCTTTTTAAGCTGCTTTACCACTGTCAGTTTTTAAATGTTGGCTCAATTCTAATTCAAAACCACACTCTGACTTTTGTTGGCCACCTCTTCCATTAAAGATGAGTAGCCATTTTAGGGAATAAACAACAGATTTATGTGTGGTCAATTTGTAAAAGTCACACATGATAAATAATTGTGTCAGTGGAAAGATAGCTTTATACAAAGGTAATAAACTTTCTAAATGTAGCGCCTGGCCAGGCCAGGTTATTCCAAAGTAATTGAAATGTAAAAGCTTTCAACAACCTCATTTATCTTTGTTCCATTCACTTGTACATGTGCACAGTATTGATTTAGGAGTGCTGTCTTTGCAGAATTTGCATCATTAAATGAAACACTCTTATTTCTACTCTTTCCTCCTCCCATCTTTTTCCTGCTATTTCACCCTCTCCTCTTTCAATCTCCGCCTGTCACTATTGCTCTTCTGTTTCCATCTTCACATACTGTAACATCCATCTCACCCTTGAGCACTACACACACACACACAAACACTTCTTCACTGTTACTCTGCTTCTTTATGTTGGCCCCACACTAGAGGATAATTGGACAGATTTTGGGTCTGACTTGCCTCTCCCGACAAGCGTGGGCATGTTCCCAATTCGAGACTGGTCTGAAAAGATTATTTGTCCAAATGGTGCTATAGTGTGAGGGGTTTACAGACATAATCTAATGCTACAGACGAGATCAGCGTCTCCCCGTGTTTGATATTTACGATTCAAAGTCCTATAGTGTGAAACAGCTATGGAAGCCATTCTGATACTCAGACACAACTTCATTCACAATTGTTTTTTCTCTTTTCTTTTCAGTGCAAAGTGACTGCAATCAGCGAACAGTAACAGTCTGCCTCCATGTTTGTTAGTTTTCTAAAATCACATTTGATCGCGCAAGTTACTGTAAGATCCTTGTCCCTTTATTAATTTCATAAACAAAAAGTGTGTAGTCCTGCCTCTTGACAGTGTATGTATGTGTGTGCATTCTTACAATTAGAATATGAATCTATAATCTCTCGTTATGTCTGTGGGTCCCATATATTTATATATATATTATATATTATATATCCTGCGACCTGATCCCGGATAAGCGGATGAAGATGGATGGATGGATATATTATATATATTATATATTGAAATCCTGTAGTGTGCACCAGGCATTATTTTATCATTTCTTCAGGCTCTTCTGTCTGTTTTCTTTCCTTTAAATCCTCCAACACTTTTATCCCTATCTTCACTTTCCATCCTGTGTCCTCTCTCCTTTGCCTGTCACATGTCTCCGATTTAGTTTTTCCAGACCGTTAACAATACTGATGAAAAGTATCGAGCACAGGTTAAATTGTTTCTCTGTATCTGCTTTATCCTTTTCCCTCTCCAGAATTGGACTTTCGCTACTTCTGGAAGTGGAGCGCGTTTGAGGACTACCTGCTCTTTTGCTTCGGCTTCACTGTGCTGTGTGCGGTGGTCACCCTGCTGCTGCTGGACTCTGCTCTGTTTGTGGAGACGCTGGGCTCCCTGGCCGTGATGTTTGAGGCCATGCTGGGTCTCCCTCAGCTGCTGCAAAACTTCGACAACCACTCCACCAAAGGCATGAGGTACAGCACTCTTTGAGGTCAAGCAGAGCTTTGCATGGAGCTCCTAACTCACTGTACTCACACTTCAGTAGCACATGGAAAGTACTCTCATTAACCTAAATGTCCAGGGAGTACAAGTAATTTATGTTCTTGTGAACAAAATAGGCCATTTATAATTATTAGAGGCTACATGAAGAAGAAAAAAAATCAGTGAGTCAAGGTTTTCATACAGTACCTCCTTTCAAGGCCTCATGTTTAAACTGCACTGATGGCAGAAAACTAACAAGAGTAAACTAGAAAAAGTTGATGATACATTTGTTACGTCCCCAGCTTGTCTAGGGGCGTGGGACTAACAAGCAGATAAATAAACCGGGTGGAAAAACCAAGGATGACCCAAAACACGTTCCACAGTTATTGTATTTATTTCAACAAAGTAACAAAATGTGTTTACCAAATGAAAGCGATCTCGGCTCACGCCAGAGACGATATGAATTATGTTATGTAAAGTAAATTAAGTGACACAGGGTATTCAGTGGATAACACGATACACGGTCTCCACGTCTCCCACCACGCTGGTGAAGCACACGTGGTGGTCACCTGCCGCTCACCACACCGGCTTCCAGCTGGTCAGGAACACTGGGCCAACGGCTGCCTCCACAGAGTCACCGGACGCACGGCGCGGGGTGAAGTTAAGGGTCGCCACCCAGCAGGTCACATCACGCTACGGGCCACACAGAGCACACAGGCTGTTGCGAGCGAGCAAGAAAGAGTGACCGAGAGCACTTCATTGGCACAACTTATATGCCCCACTGATTGCCACTGATCAGCTCTAGCTGTGGGATTCACACAGCGTCAGGCTCAGGACACAGGTAACAACCTGCAGAAGAGAGACAGAGGCACCCACAGCAACACAAGCACAACACACAGAGCAACCCATAGACCTCACAGGTCGTAATAATACTGTAAAGTAACCTTATCCACCCTCTAAAAATAAAGAATCAACTTATCTCCTCCTAGAAATGTTCTTGATAGTGTTATTACATGTCCCATTTTAACTTAATTCCCAAGGTTTAAACTATACCCACGTTAAATTCACGGTTACCTTGAATGGAGGGGGAGTAGAAATTTTTTGGGGGGGCTTAGCTTCCAATATGCATGTTGTTCTTGTCAAGGTTATGGCAGCGTGTGAAAAGGTCAATGTGTATAGTAATTAGCCTCTCAGGTAGAGGACTGTGAGATCAATTACTCCCCTAATGGCACGTAACCTCATACTAATTATGATCATTATTTCCTCATTATGTCTCTTGTCTGTAATCACTGCAAAAACCATACTGTGTGTTTGTGTGTGTAATGAAGGCTCATGCTTTGCTTGTCACTCATCTCTATAAAAAACCTGTAGAGACAAAACAAAATATTTTACTTTTTCTTTCCAGGACAAAGCAATTGTCATTTGTTTTCAGTAGATATTGTGGAAGTATACAACGCAGATATAGGTTAACATCATTGGGAGGGGGGGCATTCACAGCCCACCCTCACCTACTCAATCTGTCTTTTTTTTGCAACCTCATTAAGCAGCAAATAGTTTAAATACTAAAAACAGGATCCAGAAAGTCTTGCTTGGAATTAAATTGTGCAGTAAACAATAGAGTTGGAGACCATGCTATTATTTTAGCGCCATAAATGGGATATGTACTAGGTCTTATGTGTGGCTGGCATATAATTCAGACTGATTATGTATTTGTCAGGCGCTGATGAAGACCTAGAGTCGATATGCATTGGTCTGTTTGATTGCCTATATGCTCGAAAAATACATTTACAATTTTGTTCTATGGTTGTCTGCAGCAGTTACTGTCAAGCAAGACTTCTTGATCCTGTTTTTTGTACTTTCACCTGCCCCACTAAAGAGCACCTGTCGAATCAGCCAGAGCCATGCAGCACTTCCTTTTTCCATTGTGAACTATTTTAAATACTAGTCATAGTGATGCAACTGCAATACCAGTGAGTAAAAAAAGGGCTCAACGTTAAACTTTTTTGCAACTGGCCCCACCGGATCAGTGGGTTTGAAACTTACTGGCCCGAAGACAATTTTTACTGTCCCTCCTTCCAAAAGTGTTTAATTGTTTATTAAATACATCCTGGATATAAAAAAAGCTAAACAAAAATGTAATCACAGTTAAAATTATAAATAATAAAAAGGTTAACAAAACAATTTATTTTTAAAACAAAACATACTAACAGACTCAAACATGACGTGCTCTCCTGCTGACAGCCATCTATGAAAAATGTACACAGAGCAGACACGAGTCGCCTCTATCCTGATGAACAGGTTGCTATGGTAGCAACCCCTTCAATCACAAGGTAGTCCCGTCCAAAAGCATACGCTGAATTATCGTCTATTTTCTCCTAAATAGGACCATAATATACTAAATGAACATCATGCTGTGTTGAAGACTTGAAACTAGCCACTGAGACCATAAACTCATTTAAAAGTGTTTACTGAGGTAATAAATCAGCTGAGAAGCAGCAACATTTTACCATTATTTCTAATGAAATCGCCCCCTGCTGGCCGTTTGACAGAATGCAGGTTTAAGTTCAGTCTGCATTGTTTCACTTTCGACCCAGAGGTTGCCGCATGATTGAGATTAGAGAAATAACATTTGACAACCTCTCGTCACGTAACTACAACTCTTGATTGGACATCGGTGCGCGCCAAGAGCTGCAAAACAACTGCAGGATGTTGAGTTTCATTATTATTTTTTTTTAAATACTAATGTTTTTGTACTGGCCCGATTGGGTCAGTGAGTTGCCGGTTCAACTGTCCCGACGTCACGTTTTACTGGCCCTGGGCCATCGGGCCACCGTTATTGTCGAGCCCTGCATTTCATTATGATTATTTCTCTATTAATCAAGTAATCATTTGGTCTATTAAATGTCAGAAAATTATGAAAAATGCCCATCACAATTTCCTGTAGCCCAAGATGATGTCATCAAATTATAAAGGAAAATAAATCAGGTAATTAATACAAAGGTGTCTCATTTTATAATTTGATTAATGCCCACATTCATTTTTTAATGTATTTTTGGTGTTTATAATTGGATGTTTATTTATTTATGAGCATTTATTAATTTCCGTGTTCATTTTGTTTGCGGCAGACATGGTCCTCCATATGCCTTTAAGCATGCTAACATTTGCTGATTAGCACAAAACAGATGCAATTTACAGTTTGTCTTTTGCAGATAGATTGATCACTTATCCTCATCTCTCCTTCCACCTTGTTGATCCCTCTATTTTTGTGTTTTTGTTCTGTCCTAGTTTGCTATATTTTCCTTTTTGTGATTCCCCAAAGCATAAGAATACCATAGAAATACTTTACACTTGAGGGAATAAAGAGGAGGTGAGAATGGCCTTGATTCATGAAGGTTGTGTGCATGTTTTTCCCTTGAGAGATAATTCTTTTCACCACAGACAACTGACAGAAGTGTCATCCACTGTATATATTCTCACATACTGCAGTATTCACTGTAGATCCACAACTCTTCTTCAGGTGCCCCTGTACGTTTTCTCTGGATTAACTGTCACTACTGTCACAGTAGCTTTTATATTGAAACACACGTAGAAGAAAATCCAGTCAAGCCTGCACATATCTTGCCTTATACCACACATGCATCCATGAACACAAGAAAAGCTCTGAATGCACTTTAGTTTTGTCTTCAAGTAGTGCAGTAGTGTAATTAAAGATGCTGCAGTATAGTTTGCTGTCTGAATGACCAGACGTTCTTCTGTAATATGCCCCACTTCACAAGTGTCCTCAGGGTTTACATCTGGACTTGCACTTCCTCTGAGCACCCATTCAGCTCAGTCTCAACATCATGCCAAACATTAAATACGCACTATTACTATAGTACACTATACTATATTACACTATATTACATCTCTGAGATGTGTAAATGGAATGTAGAAGCACATTTGTGTGAAAACCATGTTACTAATCATTCATCAATATATTTGGCAAATATATAGACAGCTAAAGTTAAGATCACAGTGTTAAGACTTTGTAGCTCTATGTGTGTGTGTTTCTCTGTGTATCTGACTGCCCGGGGTCAACAGAAGGACCTGCGTGTGTGTGTGTGTGGGCAAAAGTGTGTCAGGCAGAGGTAGAGGAAGACACAGCAGAGTGGGGGAGTACTATGAGAATGGCAATGCACAGGCAGCATTTGATGCTATGCCACCAGAAAGTCCACCGCAAAGCCAGGTGTGGCTGAGATGTCATAATCAGCATGCCAAGGACACAGTAGGTTAAAGAAGCGTACAGTCAGGCAGATGTCTTTGATCTGCTGACCAGCCGCATGGTGAAACCACGGCAGCCACTTGGCTTTTTTGAGATTTTCAACAGAACCAGGTGCAGATGACACAAGCGCATGACCTGACCTTCAACATGCAGGTCTGTAGAGTAGCTGGCAGAGAAACTGCTGACTTCAACTAGAAAGAGAACCAAGGGATGAGATCATGCTTCGAAACAGAGCTATAAAAGGAGGTCCAAAAGAAGTGGAAAATCAGTTGTTACATGCTGTCATGTCAACTCGAGTCTCTGTTCTCCGATGGAACTTTTGTACTCTAATTAGTGTCTATTTTTGCTGGAAATAAAAATGTTGGGAATAGTTCAGGCTTTTTCATCTGGCCCAAGTCTTACATTTTTACATGACAGATGACAGATGATGGTAAAGTCCCTTCATACTCAGTAATATATATAATCTTACTATAATATGAGCCACCAAAAAAATCACTTCAGAATACTAAATGACTCTTTCCAGAAAATACTGTTATTCAACATGAGTATTTTCCTTCGATCACTGTGGCCTAATTGGATGAATGACCCTGCTGGCTTGAAATAGCCCATTCAGCACTTCTCTCTGTGTGTGTATAACATGTTTCAGATATTTTGACCCTCCTCACGTGTACTTATGGATTCTCCCATCTGTTCAGTTAACCTTGAACAGACTGATTTCCAGATATAATGATG